CTAATAATAACCCATATACAGAAATCATCTTGAGACTGAACTTAGCAATTCGAATTTAAGACTGAATGCAGTATTGCTACTCCCTCTGTTGAATGTTCCATGTGATTCTCATCATCTCAATCGGTGACATTCTTATGCAGCTATGCTTTCCACTTTCAACAAATGTGTTTCTTCAGTATGGCCCGTTACCTGATGATGCCATACGCCAGTCGATATGAAGTCGGAGATTCGAAAGATGCGGCTAAAAAGTTGTTCGATACGATGATGCAGGATTGCGCTGAAACTACCACTGGGGTCGAGAAGTGCTCACAGTTAGCAATGAAAATATCCGTTTCATAAAAAAACAATTATCAGTATCATAGCAGCTGTCATTGTCATTACTACGATTGTTATCATTAATTAAAATTGTTCCGTTTATCATTTCCAGTATCACTGTTAGCAATCTTGTTGTTACTATCATAGATTCTGTCTAAAAGTGTTTTATTCTCCGCAGTATTCCACCGGATGTGCGTGAGGGTGTCTATTGCTCGGCGATTAAGTTTGGTCCTCAGGCCAATTTCGACTTTCTGCTCAAACTTTATCATCAACAGGTCAAGTATCAGTATTACTTCTATCAAGAATATCACGCAATGCTCGCTGGTCTAGCCTGCACAACATCTAAAGAAAACCTCAAAGGGTTTGTTTCAATTCTCTATTCCTTTTCTAGATTATTTCCGTCACGAACTTTTTCAAAATTCCGTTTCCAGAACAAATCATAAGTGTTTTTCATCAAAGATGATTTGATGTGACTGTTTATCCATCCAAGTTGTTCAATAGTAATGATAGCAGCTGTAAGATAATAAAGGGTATAGTAATGAGGACAGCGATGCGGATTAGCTAAAAGCGATGATCATTTTAGCACTCAATGGATCACCAGCAAAAACCACTGATAACATTCGCATCAGTCATGGTGACAAGAATACTGATAATAATGATAACAGTAATCGTGATAAAGTCACTGATAGCAAGATGCCATTGTTTTCTGAATCTCAGCGAATCAGTCTGTCCACCATTGCAGACTCATACCGATTGTGCTCAACGCGAACACTCCGGAAGCAGCCTATCGACCACTGATGTACCTAACACGAAATCCGATCGCAAGTGATATGATGATGGAATATTTCCGTTCCAACGCAAAACAAGTTTTGGAAAGTGGGCAAATAGACTTGTATCTTCAATCCATGACTGCCGCATGGCAAACGCAGACTCGTCTCGATCAGGTTGTTTGCTTCATTCGATTTTCATTCCACTTCTCAGCTTTAGTTTCATTCCATATCGAGTTTTTATGAGGGAACGATGTAATTTGCATTTTTCAGTTCATTCAACTGTGTAACGATCTGGAGAGTGGTGATCCTCAAGTACCAGCCAGCGTTTGTGCCCCGCATATTGCCAGTCTTCGTGCACAGGTTTCACGAGCACAACGCTACTTACCCGACATCGGTGCGTTTTAATCAGATTTTTCATCTCAGTCTGAAAGTGATCGTTAATTGATCACTCCGAATCGGCGATCTCCGCATAATGATAATCGTAGAACAATTTCACTTGAATTAATTGTTAGTGATTGACAGCCATCCAGCAACTCTTGCATCCTGAAAGTTTTTCTGAAAAGGATGTCAACTTGCAGTTGATACCTTTAGTGATCCATTTGTGAAAGCTAAGATTGAAATAATAGTGCTAATGATGGTAATGATAGAAGTTATCGGTAATGATATGAACAGGAGAATCANNNTCCAAGTAAGATATACGAAGGTTACATTTCATCATCCGAATCGATAGTGCATGATATCCGTGTACATCTTATACATATACAGCTAACCTACAGATTTAAGGGTTGATTTCATATATCACTTTGGTGTCCCTCACGAATCGTCTCTTTTGCGATCTGTCGCGACAAAGTCTTCGAATCGATTACGAGTATCAGCAGCTCGAACGTGCCCAACATTATTGTGAATATCCGGATTAGAATCATTGTAGTACTTTGCAGTTCATATCTTCTATGACCGATTTGTGAAGGAGGGAGATGATCCATGGGATGAACGACTACCTCATAGTTTGATGCCGTTGAAGTATAACGCTTTCATCCAACCCTATTTCCCGTCGTCCGGTGCGTATCCATGGTACAAAAATATGACTTTCGATTCAGTGGTTGACGTGAGTTTCCGAATTTACTTGTCTATTTTAAATGAGCATTTATTTGAATTTTTATTTGGATTGCTTTTCTAATTTTCTGTCGTCAGAATCGTGAATCTTTTCAATTTGCAATGATTTGCTATTTCCAGATGAAAATAAAAGTCATACAACCAACCGATATGGTGAACATCAGTCTGCATCGAATGTTCTTCCACCCATCTGATGTTGTGCTCAAGGACAGCAATCAGAAATTGATTGAATAT